AAAAAAAAAAAAAAAAAACAGAGCAGGAAAAGCAGAAGGGGATTCAAAGAAGAGGAGCTAAGCAGGATACAAGATATGCTTCCAATCCTCCAAAAATTGATGACACAAACTAGAAGAAAAAGTCTGCTATTATTATTTATATGTCCATCTCTTCAATGATTGTTCTGACAATTTGCTATGTTCTAGGAACTATGCTGACCACTAACTATTGAATTGAACCTGAAATAGCAAACTTTTCTGTCAGAAGAACCCAGAGTTCTAAGCCAATGGTTCTAAACTGTTAACAGCAAAACCTCTATTAACAGCAGAATCCCAATAGCAGCTCACAGATAAGTGCTCTGATTGACGTATCATATAGAAAAGTTCAGATACACACGTCCCATGAACTTGCCTTCTATCTCCCATTTACCGATTCTCAACAGTGATTCTGTGGACAATCTAATTCAATCATATTTTTCCCCAGGTCTCAACTGATTTACTCTGTTCCCTTCTACACATACACATGCATGTACACATACAAGTACACACGTAACACTCCTCACAGACTGTTCAGGGGTCCCATTATCCTTCCCCTTCCTTTTATTTCTCTAATTCATATTGAAAGATCTCAATGAGGCCCTTCCACCACACCACATGCCTTTTTCTGATGATCTCTTTTATTTCTTTCTTGTCTAATTACACTAATAGTTCCTCCGAAAATGGTGAAGGTAGACATTTTCTGTTTCTGACTTTAATAAAAATTGTTGTAGTCACCATTAAGCCTGATATGAGTTATTACATTTATATAATTAAAAACAACAAAGGTAGTGGTTCCTCAACATTATTGTTACTATTGTTCAATACCAGCCTACTCTTTATTTTCTGGATTTTTTTTTAAATTGTGGTAAAATATACATATTTACCATTTTAGATATTTTTTAAAGTGTACAATTTGAGCCGGGCGCGGTGGCTCAAGCCTGTAATCCCAGCACTTTGGGAGGCCAAGGCGGGTGGATCACGAGGTCAAGAGATCGAGACCATCCTGGTC